GCAGGCAGGGAGGGGGGCGGTTGGTAGGCAGGCATTGAGGGAAGGGGTTGGGGCAAGCAGGGAGTGGGGGGGGTTGGGGTTGGCAGGCAGGCAGGCAAGGGGGGGGTTGGGGTTTGCAGGCAGGGGGGGGGGGGTGGGGTTGGCAAGCAGGCAGGAAGGGAGGGGGTTGGGGTTGGCAAGCAGGCAGGGAGGGAGGGGGTTGGTAGGGAGGGAGGGAAGGGGTCGGTTTTTGTTAATATATCTTCTTATCATTTTGTACATCATGCTCCGTGCAGGCGATGAAAGATGCTATGAAGGTGGAAGGCAACAAGCTCAGGTGAGCTTATGTAATTTGTTTTAGAAGGATGTGATTGTGTTGTTGTATCAATGCGGACTTCGTACTCATTTTTTCTATCATTCTGCTGACATGCGCATTGAATGTTTTTTCTTACTCTTCTTCTGTGTTTGCTTGCAACTTCTCCGTTGCTAATATGCTATTATTCCTCATGTCATATGCAGCTTGAAACTTCAAGGAAATGGAAATGAGCTGCAAACTCTATAAACAGCATTGGCAAACTTACAGAAGGAGCAGGCAGAGCTGCGTACTAAGGTCTGTGGTTGTAAGAAATATGTCATGTCCCAAAGTTTGTGCCCACTTTTTCCACTATTGCTTATTTCTGGTTCATTATACAAATTTAATAACTATGCCTATTTGTCTCCCCCCTCATCCCCCATGAATATATTTCATGATCGTTCTTCTATTGATAGTTGAAGGCAGTGGAAGATGACGCAAGGGAGAAGCTGAGCAGCCTTTAAGGTTAGTGCATTTGGGAACTGTATGGTAAAGTTGTTGATATGAGAATTAACACATGTCATATTAGATTGATCATTCTCTTCTGGCAATCATCCATGCTTCTTGTACCCTTCTCATTTGTAACATCTTCAATGATCCTAACATTATTACATTTTTGCAGTTTTGAGAGAGAAAATCCGAGTAATGACGCGGTGATGCCTTTGAGCGCCAACAAGAAGAAAAAAAGAGAATATTAGTTCACTATACAATACGTGAAGGATGGCAAATTTATAATGCAAAACTTCCGCTGAGTCTTTGGAGACACTGTAATAAATGATACGCTATAAACCGAAGCGAAGATACTTTCTAGATCAGCTTGTGTTAGCTTTGTTATTATCTCGTATTTCTCAAACCCAAATCTATTATTTTCCAGCTGCTGGAGTTGATCCAATGAGTAGTGGATGGTTTCAACGCATGCATTGCTGCGTATGGACAGACTGGTTGTGGGAAAACCTTCACCATTGATGGTTTAATTACCCGAGCTATTCCATATATTTTTACTTGTCTGAAGAAGAGAAACGCAGACGTGACATACATATTAAATGTTAGTATCAACCACAACATTTTTATTGTTGATAGTGATATTGTCTTTTTTTTTTTTTTTTCCACGCTTGTTGATGTTCTAATCATCCTTACAACCACCCCTTTGGTCTATGCAGGTATTCATAGTGGAGGTGCATTTAGACAAATTGTACGACCTGCTGCTACCTCCAGGCACTACCACCAAGAAGCCATTCAAGACCAGACTCGATAACATGACACACCTGCATGTTGATCTTTCTATGTTGTTCTTGGAACACCCGTGTGAGGCCTAATCAGCAGCTGTGTGCAGTGATGCTGATGCTACATTTGTCGTGTTTCCTAATGCGTTCCTCTTGCCTTGTCTGTTTCAAAACCATCTCTGTTGTCTCCACTGCTGCCTTTACACTCTACTGCTGCCCTCCTGGCTACTGCGCTCTTTCCTCTGCTCTTCACTCCCCCACTCCCCTCCCCCTCTCTCCTCTGCTCGCCACTGCCCCCACCTCTCCTCTCCTCTGCTCGCCACTGCCACGTGCAGCACCACCAGCAGGTGAGGCAGCAGCTGCAGGAGACGTGGGCACAGCAGCATGAGGCAGTTGAAGCAGCAAGGCAGCAGCATGCCGTGGGGGGGGCACACGTCTATGCCACTGCCACCACTCCCACCAAGACCAACAGCACCTGTCTCTCACCACCACAGGGCCCTAACACTCCGCTGCCGTCGCCACCAGGTGCCTGCTTCCCCCTTCCTGAGGCTTCACTGCTTTCCCGTTCTCTCTCTTAACAAGGCCGATCGCTTAACAAGTTGAGGAAGGCACGAGCACCGTAGCAAATGGCGCCTCGAACCCGCCATTTCATTATTCATTTACCATCCAAATCTGATATATTGGTTGGGGTTCGACTCAAGTTGGATTGACCAGATCGATGCAACTGTGCCTCGTGATCCACGTTGTGCTGCTCCCACGTTGTGCTGCTCCCACGTTGTGCTGCTCCCACGTTGTGCTGCTCCCACGTTGTGCTGCTCCCACGTTGTGCTGCTCCCACGTTGTGCTGCTCCCAGGATTCACCTCTCCACTCGCAGGTGCCACCTCACCTCAGATCGCAGCCTTCTCAGATCGCCTTCCTCTTGGCCTATCCCTGCACCCGCCCTTCCCTGCACCCGCTCTTCCCTGCATCCGCCCTTCCCTGCACCCGCCGTGCCCTGCAGCGTCAGCCACTCCGCCAATCACGCGAGACCAGCTGCTCGTTTGGGAGAGCCTGGGGACCACCAATGACGAGCGATTCGGGGTGTGCTAGGTGGCAGTGGCGCGGGCGCTGTACACCGCAGTGAAGGAGAACTGCCTGGCCGGGCCGACCGGTGGCGCCACCAATGCCAGCAGCAGCGCCGGCGCTCATACCAGCAGCAGCAGCAGCAGCAGCAGCAGCAGCAGTAGCAGCAAGCAGGGGAGCAGCATGGGCAGCACTGGCTCGCTGCTGTGGTCCTCCCCGGCTAAGAGCCTGTTTCTTGCCTCTCGCAGTCGCCTGGTTGCCTTCCTCTGCACACTCTTTGGCGGCCCTGTGGCCTACCACCCCCTCTGCAACTTCACCCAACATTCCTCTGGGCGGCAGTTGAAGGGTCAGGCAGAGCTGCTGGATTACATTCGAGCAACTCACCGCACGTACGGGACTCACAGGGGGGTCTGAGAGGGGGTCAGGGAGAAGGGCTGGGAGGGAGGGGGCTCACTGGGCGCTGAGAGGGGGCTGAGAGGGGCTGAGAGGGGGCTGAGAGGGGGGTTGGGGGTGACTGAGGGGGGGTTAGAGAAGGTTCGTCTTTGCTTTCTCTAGGCTTAAATACTAAACCTGATCTCACTTCGTCTCCAGCTTAGAAGGTCAGGCAGTTGCTTTTATATCCTTTCACGTGCACTCTCCCCATTTTCGACGCTTCCCTCCCCCCCTTTCTCTCCCTTGCATCCTGTTACTCACCTTCATCTTCTGCTGTCATCGTCCCCAATCCCCTGCTCATCTCAGCCCAATCCCCTGCTCATCTCACCCCAATCCCCTGGACCCCTGCTCATCCCACCCCTGCACCGCCCGCAGTCCATCTCGGCGCTTCTCTGCCACCCAGTAGTCTCTCTTCATCCAAATACTCATCATGGCACTGCAGTCAGTCACGCAGAAGATGCCAGATGATGCCGTGTAGGCTGCCACCCGCCTGTTGCATGCCTATGATGATGAAGTCGTCTCCTCTGATGCTTCTTCCTGCCCCCGAGGTGCCCTTTGCGCTCCCACTCAGCTCCTTGACTGTTTTTCTCAGGTCTCGTGTTCTGCTGCTGATGTTCTTATTCTCCACCTCCCGTCCATGCTCTGCGTCTCAATATGGTTTCTCTCGTGCCAATGACCCCCTTTCTTCTCACGCTGCTCTCCTCCCCTCTCATGTGGCTCTCTCTGCATCGTTACTCTCCACTCGCCCAATCACTCACTCACTTCGCTTAAAGTTGTTCCCACCCAATAGTGTTTCCCCTCTTCTCTTCCCTCCTTCCCTTTATCCCTGATCCTACCTCTCTCTTTCATCCCCTCCCCCCATCCCCCCTTGCAGCTGACTTCGCAGTGCTGTGGGACTCAACCTCCTTCGCCCGCCGTGCCATTGCGGATGGCCAGCGGGTCACGTGGGTGTGGAATGACGACAATTCCTACGAGCTCAGAGGTGCGCCTGTAGCGAGCTCAGAGGTGCGCCAGTAGCGGGCTCAGTGGTGCGCCTGTAGCGAGCTCAGAGGTGCGCCTGTAGCGAGCTCATGGGTTCGCCTGTAGCGAGCTCAGAGAGGTGCGCTTGTAGCGAGCTCAGAGGTGCGCCTATAGTGAGCTCAGAGGTGCGCCTGTAGCTGAAAATCTTGAGGCTGACCCCGTCCGGGTCGACCTGATTTGACCTGGCCCGAGCAGAACCGGGTCCAGGCTCGCCACGAGCCTCCCACTCTCCCAGGAGCTGCACGCCAATGGGGGGCGTGTTTGAAAAGCCGGGCATGTGAACATGATAGTGTGGTTACCACAAAGCGATCAGTGGCTGGCCATTGGGCTCATGTCCATTGATATGGTTGGGAGCACCAACAGTCCATCTCAACATGCCATCAACCATCTCAACATGCCATCAACCATCTCAACATGCCATCAACCATCTCAACATGCCATCAACCATCTCAACATGCCATCAACCATCTCAACATGCCATCAACCATCTCAACATGCCATCAACCATCTCAACATGCCATCAACCATCTCAACATGCCATCAACCATCTCAACATGCCATCAACCATCTCAACATGCCATCAACCATCTCAACATGCCATCAACCATCTCAACATGCGATCAACCATCTCAACACGCCATCAACTACCTATTGCTGCATGCATGCTATTGTGAGTCACTGCTTTCCCCCAGTCAACCCTGTGCTGCTTTCTCAAGTCACAACCGTTTTTCATCATTGCCAAGGTGCGAAAAATACGGTGCGAGTATAATACAGCCCGTTTTTTACAGTTGTATGTTACGGTCAAATTTCAGAATTTCGGTCGTTCTTTTGTTAGAGATTTTTGTGGGGGAAAAAAAGGTCGAAAGCCATTCTTTTACTGACCAGGATAGCAAACAAGCATTGAAATGCTATCAAAATGTCTAGAATGCAGTCAGTTAGTCCTCCTCCTCTCCTCCTCCTCCTCCTCCTCCTCCTCCTCCTCCTCATCCTCCTCCTCCTCCTCCTCCTCCTCCTCCTCCTCCTCCTCCTCCTCCTCCTCTTCCTGCTGCCCCTCACACGATTCATCCTCCTCATTGTCCTCCTTCCCGCTTTCAGCATCACTATAGTTCCACGGATTGACCCCCGTGGTCTTCCTCTTGGCTGGTTCATCAGGGCCATGTCGGCAGCCATGTGCAAACACTCGATCGAGGAACGATGATTGGAAAACTTCGTGTTCACCTATTGGTTAAAAAAAATTGAGCGTAACATACGACCATATTTTTGCACCACGTCAAAACGACAGCATTTAGGCGTTTAAAGACCGGAAAAATACGACAGCGTATTTTACGCCGGAGATTTTCGGCCGTAGTTTGCACCTAAGTCGTAACACCCAGTTGAGTGTTGCCTCATCCTCACATTCATGACTTCTCGGGCTGCTCCCTCCTACACTCCTTCACTACCTCCCTCCTGCACTCTTTCACTTTCCTCCCTCCTGCACACCTTCACTGCTCCCTCTACACTCCTTCACTGTTCCCTCCTGCACTCCTTCACTTCCTTTATCCTGCACTCTTTCACTGCTGCCTCCTGCATTCCACTGCTCCCTCCTGCACTTCTTCACTTCCTCCCTTCTGCACTCCCTCACTGCAGGACCGGTGAGCTCATAGCCGTTTCTTGGGTTTGGAGCAGGTCGACTTGGCCTATTACGGCTTGCCACGTGTGCATGGGACAACATCGGGCCCGGAGATGCGACGGATGAGCCTGCGCCATGTGTGCTGCGTGAGTGCATTGTAGTGATGACGTGGCATGCATGCACGGATTGGTCACGCGCAAGCATGAAGTATATCCAGCGTTTCCCTTCAAGCCAGAGGAGATGGGAATCAGCTGAGAAAAATGCACCCACGCCTTCCGTCCGTGTTGTTGCCATCATCCTCCTTGGGACAGCTTTCATCCCCCCATGTGTCCTTCATGCCCCCATGCGTTTCATGTCCCCATGTATCCTTCATGCCCCCATGTGTTTCATGTCCCAATGTATCCTTCATGCCCCCATGTGTCCGTCATGTTTTTATGTTTCCAGCGCGCACCCTTGTGTCACTCCTCCATTCCCTATGCCCCTATCATTTTCTTTGCTGATGTCAGTGCGTGCTGTATGACTCTGCATCTTAGTCATTCTCCTCCTCATACTCCCACACCCTCCTGCACATAGGGTCGCCTGGTGGCATAGCAGCCCCGTATTTCACGTACACCAAGGTGTTTGGCACAGCTCGAGATATGACAGTCAAGGACTCGCCTCAGCCTCTTGCCTCCACTCTCCTCCGCGCCACCTCCACGCCTGGTGCGCCCATCCCCCTGTCAGGTGCCACCCCCCAGTCAGGTGCCATCCCCCAGGCAGGTGCCACCCCCAAGTCAGGTGCCACCCCCCAGTCAGGTAACACCCCCCAGTCAGGTGCCACGCCCTCACATGCATGCACGCACGCCCTCACACGCATGCACGCACACCCTAACATGCATGCACGTAAGCAATCACATGCATACACGCAGGCCCTCACATGCATGCACGCACGCCCTCACATACATGTACGCACGCCCTCACATGCATGCACGCACGCCCTCACATGTATGCATGCACGCCCTCACATGCATGCACGCACGCCCTCACATGCATGCACGCACGCCCTCACATGCATGCACGCACGCCCTCACATGCATGCACACACGCCCTCACATGCATGCACGCACGCCCTCACATGCATGCACGCACGCACGCCCTCACATGCATGCACGCACGCCCTCACATGCATAAACGCACGCCCTCACATGCATGCACGCACGCCATCACATGCGCCCATGCCTGGCAGCAGGCAGGCACTGCCATCACGGGCTTGTAGCGCAACCAACCCTGCAACGTGGCATCCCTCGACATGTCCTTCCCATCCTCGCCTCTCTACATTCACTGCGCTCTCCATCCCCAACTCCCTCTCCCCTGCACCCATACCCCTGCCCTCAGCAGAGCCACCACCAAGCACGTCTGTGCGGCCGTACGAGCAGCTGCTCGCCGCAAGCTGTGCGCCCGCGTGTGCGCTGGCCATGCTGGCCAATGGCCGCTGTGACCCCGCATGCAACGTGGATCCCTGTGACTTCGATGGGGGCGACTATGCCTGCGCCACTGCCCATGCTGCTGGGGCTGGCGGCAGCAGCACTGGCATCGCTAGTGGATATGTGCAGTGGTGTGAATGCCCAGTGCTGCAAACGCGGGGGGGTGATGGAGGTAAGTGCTCAAATGTCTGCATGTCTCTCTACTCTCTAGCCATTCTCCCATCACAATGAAGCCTGGGAGGGTGGGGCAACTGGGTCATGCAATGTGTGGTTCCATGCAATGCGTGCTTTCATGCAATGCGTGCTTTCATGCATATTTTTGTGCGCTTTCATGCAATCACTATTTGTGCTTCTATGCAGAACTCTGCTGCCAGGGACACTTTCACTTTGTGGCTGCACCCCCGTCCTCTCTCCACCACGGTTTGGAATATAGGGCTTCACCTCTCTTCCCTAAATCCTGCCGCACTCCTGACTTAACCAATCCTCCTCCTTTCTACCTCTCCCCACTCCTATGCATCACACCGTTTTACATGCCATGGCGAAGCTGTATGCCCTTAGCTCACCGTTCACCCCTCCTCTCCTCCCCCTCCCCGTCATCCCTCTTCCCCATCACCCCCTTCCCCCTCTGACCTCCACGGTGCTCCTCAGCGTGCTGTGAAGCGGCAGGAGTGGGGGAGGCCATCAAGGTGCCCTTCAGGCTGCGCCGCTTTGGCTCCACTGTGCATCCCCTCGACGCCACTCCTGCCACCAACGCCTCTCTGCTGCCACGCACGGTCTCCCAGTACAACAGGTGCCGCACGATCTCCCAGTACAACAGGTGCCGCACTGTCTCCCAGTACAACAGGTGCCGCACTGTCTCCCAGTACAACAGGTGCCGCACTGTCTCCCAGTACAACAGGTGCCGCACTGTCTCCCAGTACAACAGGTGCCGCACTGTCTCCCAGTACAACAGGTGCCGCACTGTCTCCCAGCACAGCAGGTGCCGCACTGTCTCCCAGCACAGCAGGTGTCGCACGGTCTCCCAGCACAGCAGGTGCCGCACTGTCTCCCAGCACAGCAGGTGCCGCACGGTCTCCTAGCACAGCAGGTGCCGCACTGTCTCCCAGCACAGCAGGCACAGCAGGTGCCGCACTGTCTCCCAGCACAACAGGTGCCGCACGGTCTCCTAGTACAGCAGGTGCCGCACGGTCTCCCAGCACAACAGGTGCCGCACGGTCTCCCACTACAACAGGTGCCGCACAGTCTCCCAGCACGACATGTGCCGCACTGTCTCCTAGTACAAAAGGTGCCGCACTGTCTCGCAGTACAACACATGACGCACTGTCTTCCAGTATAACACATGCCATTGCCATACTGCCTCTCTGCATTTCACCTCTCTGCATGCTGTCTACCCAGTTACTTTCAACGACAGCCCTTACCACTGTGCTCCACAATGCTCTACCAGCGGGGCTCCCCTCACTCACTGTGCCATGTGCTGTGTTCCTTCCTGCATGTACCATGCGTAACTTGCGTGTCTCATACCCCCCAGTGTGCTCGTGGGGCTGGTTATCGTGCAGTACCGATGGAACTCTGACCGCTGTGCCAACAGCAGGTCAATCACCCTCCTCACCCCAAACAAAGCCTCAGCAGTCAGAGAATCATGCCTGACCATATGCGTATTCCCCACCCCCATGCACCTTTTTTTTCAAACTTCTCACTGCTTGTGTCCAAACCCACGTCCACTTTTCCTCTCCTTCCTCCCCTTGCATCTTCCCCTCCCCTGTCTCCCCCCGGCACGGCAGGTTCCACTTCCAGGACGCATGTGTGGGGGGGGGGGGGAGTCGGCGAGTGCGTTTGGGGTGAACCCGGTGTTCCTGCCGTCCTCCTCGCTCTACAACCCCAATGTCGCCGTCACCAACACCACTGCCTTCACCAACCAGCCCTTCGCCAACCCCTTTGAGCTCAACGCCAAGGGGCTGCCCTTCAGCTTCCAGCAGCTCGTCAGTCACACCTTGCCTTCACCCATGCGCACCATCTTCTGTTACAATGCATGTAACCGTGTCACCATTTAACTGCGTTACCATGTTACCATGAAGGAACTCCTTCATGTTGTGTTCCAACCACTCACCATCTCTCTCCTGCCTTTGCACTCACCCTCTCTCGCCTGCATGTGCACTCGCCCTCCCTCGCCTAACTTTGTACTCCCGCCGCCCAACGAACGAGCATCTATTCACGGCCACCAAGGCCACCCTGACGGTGCAGTTGGGCGGCAGCATGGAGGCGATGTTCCAGGTGCAGCCGGTGAACGTGGGGTATTACAACATGAATGACAGCAGCAAGGTGGTGCGCCTCGTGGTGGAACTGCTCTTTGTGGCCGCGGTGGCGTGGAGCATCGTGGAGGAGGTGAAGGAGATGCTGTGGACGTGGAAGGTGCAGCGCCGCTCCTTCTGGCACTACGCGAGTAAGGGGTGGACGTGGGTGGACTGGCTCTCCATCGCTCTCCAGATCACCACCATCGCCATCTGGTCCGCTCGCTTGGGGTGGCGAGGCATGCATGGGGTGGCGAGGCATGGGGTGGCGAGGCATGGGTGGCGAGGCATGGGGTGGCGAAGCATGGGGTGGCGAAGGATGGGGCGGCGAGGCATGGGGGGGCGAGGGTGGCAAGGGATGGGAATTATTCTAGTGGTGAGTGGATTGAGTGTGGTGCCTCAGTCACGTACTGCTTACATTGGTGGAGGAGTGAAAACTCTTTGTCTTTTTCTCACCCTCTCTACTCTACCATCCCACATACAGGATATCAGTGGCGGTGATGCGAGCACAGGGGTTCACCATCCAGCCTCACTATAACATCTACTACACGCTCGACGACAACCCGCGCTACTGGTCGCTGCCCAACCCACCCGTGGGCTATCAGGCGGCCATGTCAGCGGTGGACACGCTTGGCTTCATCACCAACCTCTGGGGCGTCTACTTCGCCCTTCAGGGCATCAAGTCAGTCTTGCTTCTCCTCTCCCATGCCCCTGCGTCTCGGCAGGGTCGTTTCGGGTTGGATTGATCGGGTTCAGTTTTTGTGTGCGACCCCTCCTCCCTATCTCACCTCTCTCTCTCTCTCTTCTCTTCCCTCACCCCTCTCTCCCCTCGCCACCCTGTCCCATATCTTCCTTGCTCCGCTGGTCTCTACAATGTGCTTCCTTTGTGACCCCAGTCCCCCATCACTTCATGACCACAAAAGCCTTCTCTCCCATCCGTGTCATTGCTTTTGTCCTTCTTGCCTTTCCCCATGATGCCTGTCACCGTGCCATGCCACCAGAGTGTTCATCATGGTGCTGCGCCTCTTGAAGCTGATGGACTTCCAGCCGAACATCGGCATCATCACCCGCTCCATCCGGGCGGCCCTGCCGTCGCTACTCTACTTCTTCATTCTCTTCTTTGTTGTCTTCGTGGCATACGCCACCTACGGCTACCTGGTGTTTGGAATGACCTTAGTACAAGTGTGTACTGCATGCGTGCTTCTCCCATGTTTCTGAAAGTCCCTCTCAACACGCTCTGATGTAAGATGTTATTTCTTTCCTTTTTCCGGCTAGTTAGCGAGTTTTGTCTGTTAGGCATGAGCAAAGTACTAAACTGGGGACAAAGTGAGAGGCGTTGGCCTCCCGGTTCGAGGTGAAGCAGTCTGGCCAGTTCGACCGTGCACCTCAGACCGGTTTGGCTGGCTCGTCCGGTCCGGTACCAAGCGGCGTCTAAGCACGGCAAGCCTCAGGGCTGCATGGATTTCAACATGGGTAGCAACACGAGGTTGGTTCAAGTCAAGTCGCTGGTTTAACCTCATGTTGGACCTCAAGCTTCAAGTCAAGTCGCTGGTTCGAACCATTGCAGCCCCAACCGGACAGGGTTCGGTACTTGCTAAGTTCTAGACTTTGCCAAAAATAAGTGCAAAGTGTGTTTATTTGTGGCGCATTTGTATTACACAGTATTTGAGGAGTCGCGTTTGATGGTGAGCAACTGATTGGACAGTAGGCAAGATCAAGAACCAAACCAGAACCGGTTAGGTTTTTGCTCAAACGAACCAGAGTGGTTCGACCCGAACCAAAGCCAGTTTGGGTCGAACCGGGATGTGGCCACTGGCCCTGCCGACAATTGGCCTGACCATTATTTATTGAAAGAACTGGTTCTTGTTCGTTTCGCACTGATTGGGTGTGAAGAGCTTTTGGAAAAGCAAATGGGGGAATGGGTGGCTGAACAATATGGATCGCGTGCTGCTCGTAGCATTCACTCGTAGGTGATGTTTGATAACACCAGAGTAACACGCTTTTATGGTTAGCACAAGAGGGAACCAGTTGTGGACGCAAGCATGTCACTAGGAGAGGAAGAAGCAGGATGGACGGTTGTAACCCCAGTCTCCCGAACAGCATGCTAAGATAAATGTTTAGTTGCATCTAGCACTTTGCTAAAACGGATTTACGTTCTAAGTCCTCATTCATTCTTTCCAAACGTCCTGGGCTGCAGAGTTGTGTAGGAGGTTCTGAACACTCAGTTGTACGCTTGCTTTGCTGCCCGTTCCTACCCCCACTATAGTTCAGCACGCTGTCAATGTCCCTGCAGACCTGCTTCTACATGATAGTGGGGCAGTTTGGAGTGATGTATTTCCAGCACATGGTGGGGTGGCAGTACGCGGCAGCCATGATCTTCTGGTTCTCCTTCGTCATCATCTTCTGCTTTATCCTCTTCAACTTCCTCATTGCCATCATCGTGGATGCCTTCATGGCAGTCAAGGTCAGTCAACAAAGGTCAACGCCAGTCAAGGTCAGTCAACAAAGGTCAACGCCAATCAAGGGCAGTCAACAAAGGTCAACGCCAGTCAAGGTCAGTCAACAAAGGTCAACGCCAGTCAAGGTCAGTCAACAAAGGTCAACGCCAGTCAAGGTGAGTTGGTGAAAGTCAACAGCAGTCGAGGCAAGTCAATGCCGGTCAACGGCAGTCAAGGTGAGTCAACACCAGTCAATGGCAGTCAAGGTGAGTCAACGCAGGTCAACAGGGTGGAACAAGTCAATGATGGTGAATGTGATTAAACAACATGATATTGTGGTTCTCCTTCACTATCATCTGCTACTTTACGCTCTTTGCCTTCCTCCCTCCTTCCCACCTCTGCCTATCGACTTGCACGTATTGGCAGGAGTCATCCAAGAGGGCATCGGCGATATACCAGGACATGTACTTGATTGTGGTGCGCTTCTTCCGCCGCGTGGCATCGCCGTACAGAAGGTACAGCCGCCTTCTGCGCCACCTCATTCGCCTCGGAGCAGAGAACAGCGCCAATGCGGTCATTGAGGTAAGTGGGCAAGGGGGTGAGCAGGTAGGGAGGTGAGTAGGTAGGGAGGTGAGCAGGCACAGGGGTGAGCAAGCATGTGAGCAAAGATGGAAATGCGAGTGTAGGGGAGTCTAGGGCCAACTTCTAATTTCTAGCCAGAATAATGGACCCGCGTGTCCCGCATAATTCCGCATGACCCATGGTGCCCATCTAGGACCATGTCGATGTGATCCAACCTCCACGCGGATCCTGATTCAAGGCAATATCGGATGACCGATTGGACCAAAAGGCCGAAAAGAACGTCGGTTTGGATATTTTTCATATCGAGACCATAACCTGCCGTGCAGGAGGCTGGCCAGAAACTTATCACTAAGTGTATGTGCGTTTCTACCTTGCTGTGTGTCCTTGCATCACACATCCCATCTTCCCCTGCAGCGGCGCTCTCTCTCCGACGAGCAGGAGGGGGACCTTGTGGACGTGGCAGCGCTGGGGGCGGTGCTGCTGTCGGAGCTGGGGGAGAGCCTGCCGACCGCCGACTCCACGGCTACTGGCAGCACGGTTGGAGGCAAGGCGGCAAAGGAGGGCGACCTGCTGGCCATGCAGCAGCGCGTGGAGGCGCTGCGGGCCGATGTGGCGTGTGGCTTCGACCAAGTCAGACAGCAGCTTGCCACCGACTTCCAAAGCTCCCATGTCATCCAGTTGCCAGGGGAAGCCAGTGCGAGCCTGCTCCTGAGCCAGCTTGCCAATGGCCCGGAGGAGGCAGGGAGAGAGGCATGGGAGCAGGTTATGTTTCAATTGCTAAGGGCAGCAAGAGGTGAGGGGAGAGAGAGGGGAGGAGAGGAGGAGAGAGGGGATGGGAGTGGGGGAGGGGTATGAGAGAGGAAAGTTCAGTGCAGGGTCAGAGGAGAGTGAATGAAGCGAGTGCCAGTGCATCGTGAATTGTGATGCTGTGTATGAGGCTGGTGCTCAGTGGTGCTTGGCACTGCCAGCTGGGGAGTTGTAAGAACGTATTTTCCCAAACTTCACATGGATGCAGAACGCGCTGCTGGACATTGTGAAGTGGTCACAAGCAGGTTCAGTTACTGGTATGGTTCAATATGCCCTGGAAGCCTGATTGAGGTTCATTATGTTAATGTAGTAAGTTAATGTACAGTACTTGCAGAATGTTGTTGCTTACAGAGAAGGCTCCCTAATATTTAAGCCATGTGAAGAGTTCTCTTGACTTTGCTGGTTGTTTCAATTTTCACATGAGCCACAAGCCAACGTGTGAGTTTGCGTAGGCGTAGATGGTTGGAAGAAACATAGAGACCGACATTCTAGTACTGGTTTTGTAATTGCAAGTTATTGTTTTAATCCCTTGGATATAACGCCCTAGGGTCTTATCCCAACTACATTTAAAAAAAGGGGTGTATGTTCATATGGCAGTCTTTACAATGCCTTAATCTATAGAATAAACACAAAAAAACAAGAGGCGACGAAATCGTCTTAGGGTTGCGAAGCATTTCTCATATGTACAAAAAAAAAATAAATAAAAAATCATTGACTGCAGAAATTAGCATGACATCTACCGTATGCCACTTTATGGTGTTTGGTTGAGGTTAGAAAAGGGCATTTTCAGGAGTCAAACTTCTGACCATTAGACTAATGTTCAGTTTTAATCGACTGCACAACGACAACTGTTGTCGTCACGAAATTATTTTGTGTTTTTCTTTTCGCGACGCAATTACCTCCCATTTTCGCGACGCAAATGTTCCTTGCCTCCCTGCCTTCTCGGCAGTGAAGCTTGGTTGTAAACTAAAACGGCCGCTAGTCACACTCCAGCAACCTATCCGTGATGAGAAGTACCATGTTTTAACTAGACTAAGTTAGATGTTCTACGCTAGCCTAAACTCGACAGATGGTTGATCGTAACTACCGACGACCCGTAATATAGCTTGCTAGATGGTTTTGTTAGTATCAAATGTCATGTGGGGTACAGCAGTTAGGGTTAGGTTTATGTACCCCAACCAACCTTAGTCAAACCATCATTCTGTTCCTGACATGGTATCACCTAGGTTAGGATCCTGTGGGATCCCGTTCCTTCTACCACCCGTAGCGCCCTACGATCGAGCCCGTCCTGTACACTAGTGCCCGTTGCGCCCGTTCCGTTCTCTAGCGCCTGTCGCGCCCGTCCGTCCCGTCACGTCGTCCATGTCCCCCCCCCCCCCCCCCTGCTGTCAGCGTGCTTGCATCGCGACGCGCCCGTCCCGTCCCGTCCCGTCGCCCGCGTCTCCCCCCGCCGGCGTCCCGTTGCCCGCGTCGCACGCGTCCCGTCGCCCGCGTCGCACGCGTCCCGTCGCCCGCGTCGCACGCGTCGCGTTGCCCTCGTCCCGTCCGTCGCTCGCGTCCCGTCGCGTCCATCGCGCCGCGCCAATCCCTAGGCGCCCGTCCCTAGGCGCCCGTCCCTAGGTGCTCGTTCCTATGCGCCTGTCGCGCCCGCTCGATCCCGTACCCTCGTGCCCGTCACACCCTGCCGCAGCCACTATGGCGACACCTAGGGTTCTACGTTTTGATGCTGAGGGTAGGCCGCTGGAATTCGCTGTCTGGCTCCTGCGTGCGTGCCGCCTCCTAGAGATTCAGGTTCAGGCACACGAGTCTCTCTGGGCGCACACTTCCGGTGACCTTCCTGCGCCCTCCGACCCTGCACCCTTAGGCGCTAACGCCAGCACTGTAGACAGAGACCGTTATGCCCGCCAGCGTGCTGACCT